GTCCGGCCCACCTCCTAGTCATTGTATAGTTGAGGTTGTGGCCCACCTTGTACTCCATATATACGTGCACTATGCACCGATCAATACATCGAGTTGCATTGCCAAAATATTCGTTTCCAACACGACCGAGTCCCGCCATCCACTCACCATCTCCTTTTAGTTATTCATGGGTGGTTGGTGGGTCGGCTAGGGGAGTCCGGTGGTAGTTGTTGCTCTTCGAGGTGACCGGTGTTGGTTGAGACGTGGCTTTGTTGTTCTACTTAGGCCAAGTTCCTTTGCGTTGTGTTTGTAATGTGTGTGGTGGCTTTTCTTCGGATTTGCTCGCGTGTGGAGTTTGTACTACACTTGTTATTCGCGGCGAGTGGTATGCTTTTGTAATTGTCTTCTGCCTTCTATAAAAATATGATACGCTATTGACGTACTCTAAAAAAAACCTGAAGGACCAAATGAGATGGTAGTTGGGGTCAACCTGCTCGTTGTCTGAGAGAAGAGAGCAGAGAGTAGGCATTCCTGGAAGAGAATGGCAAGCCGTACATGAAGAACCGAGCTTCATCATTGTCGTTGTAGACAAAATCCTGCAACAAAGACAACACATCATCGAGCTCAACAGAACCAACTTATTTGTGATGTGGAATGTTTATCTTGAGATGACTGGTCTTACTATGAGAGAAGCTAAGACCGGGGCGGGGGTGGTTTATGGAAGAAGCCACCAAAAGAACTGGGCCTCAAGCTGGGCGGTTGCCACTTCAATTATTCTTGCTGTTTGGGGGATGAGCCTGTTGACAAGTCTATTGGTAGCAGATATGTATAGTCAACGATAGTCAATCAAAAGATGGAGCATTAACTTACTCTAGCTCCAAGCGGAGTGTGACCGAGAAAAAAGAGGTACATGTTCAGATAGGACAATTAGATTGTGCATGCATTGGGGGTAGCTTTGAGTTTTGAGCACAATTTAGTGAAGGCTGTTCTGCATGGGAAAACAGGGCAAGGACATGATAACAAGAACACTGCTCAAACGAGTTACCATCGGCAGAAAAATAGAATTTCACACAATTAAACTAATCAAGCACAGTACTATACGGCCTGCTGTGACCAAAACTGGCACTCGATCTAGTTTTCAGATTAGCACAAGTTATTATTTCAGACGCAAGGTGCAGACCTTCACAGCTCAGCACCAAAGTCCTATGCGCGCATGTAACCCGATACAATTTCTCTCTCTACCTGCGCGTTTGACTGCACCTTGAGCAGCAGCAGCAGCAGCAGCAGCAGCAGCCTAGATGCTAGTAGTACTGCAAAGGGACCATACTCCTAGCTAGACCCAGCCCCTTGCTGATAAAAGTCATTCATACAGTTCAAATAGTATGAGTATACATACAAGTACAAGCAGCCGGGTCTGCAGTAAAAACAGAGATCAAGCCAGTAGTAAATATATACTGCTAGTGGTGTTTTTGAGTACAGTAGTAATTAAAAAAGGCCAAAGCAAGAAAACAAAAGGCAACCTTATTTTTCCTTTCCCTCCCGCATTGCAAAGATCCTTCCTGCCCTTGCTCCCACTACTATATAGCCTCCCCCTCACCTTCCATTCCAGAGAGAGAGAGAAGCAGAGGGCGAGCAAGTGAATGATAGCTAGACAGAGAGGCAAGGCATGGCAGGCTCCATGCAGCTTGTGAGATGTAACTAGGTAGGGTGGGGCGGCGGCGGTGGTGGTGTGGTGGTACGAGCATGATGGTGGGGGTGGGCGATCTTGTGCTGGCTGCTCCGGCGATCCTGCTCGCCTTGCTCCTGACTCTGGTGCTGAGCCACTTCCTGCCTTTGCTCCTCAACCCCAAGGCTCCGAGGGGCAGCTTTGGATGGCCCCTTGTTGGCGAGACCCTCAGGTTCCTCACCCCTCACGCCTCCAACACGCTGGGTAGCTTCCTGGAGGATCACTGCTCCAGGTACTTTTATTTTCTTCTTCTTTTTTGTTATCATTCACCACAGCCACACCACACCTCAAGATTTCTCCACGATGCAATCAAGCACGTAGTATTGTTTATCATTTACTCATGTGGCAGCAAAAGATGATGCATGTCGTGCATGTTGTCCTGACTCAGCACCTTTATCTTCCTGTCTTTGCTCCAAGGCTGTGATATATTTGAATTTCTACAGGTTTTGTGCACAGAACCTGTTTCTGAAAAAGTTTTACCTATTGTTTTGTGGGGGAGAGAGGATGGAAAGATCTCATAAGACCCCCTATCAAATGATGGCAACTTAACAACATGAAAAAAGATCTAACATTGCAGTTGATGTGATGATGATGCAGGTATGGGAGGGTGTTCAAGTCCCATCTGTTCTGCACCCCCACCGTAGTGTCCTGTGACCAGGAGCTGAACCACTTCATCCTGCAGAATGAGGAGAGGTTGTTCCAGTGCAGCTACCCCAGGCCAATTCATGGCATACTGGGCAAGTCCTCCATGCTGGTGGTCCTCGGGGAGGACCACAAGCGGCTCAGGAACCTTGCTCTGGCCCTCGTCACCTCCACCAAGCTCAAGCCAAGCTACCTTGGCGACATTGAGAGGATTGCGCTGCACATAGTCGGGTCATGGCACGGCAAGGGCGGCAGCATCACCTTCTGCGAGGAGGCAAGAAAGGTTGGTCTCCCCGTGCATGCACTAACTACAACCAAAGCTGGCTAGGCATGCATCAGTAGGGACATGATCCCGTCAAACATGGACGAAAAACTCTGCACATGTTACCTATGGCTACATCATCATGCTGTTACTTGCTGATGCATCATCACATATTTTTTCAAACGCTGGCTTTGACTTACCAGGGTCATTCTTCTCCGTATTTTGACTCTCTTTTTCTGACTTTTTTTTTCCTTTGGCACAGTTTGCGTTCAGTGTGATAGTGAAGCAGGTGCTGGGGCTGTCGCCAGAGGAGCCTGTCACTGCCATGATACTGGAGGACTTCCTCACCTTCATGAAGGGCCTCATCTCTTTCCCTCTCCGCATCCCAGGGACCCCATACGCCAAAGCTGTCCAGGTAACTAAGTAAACAACTCTGGAATACCACCTTCTTAAACTGTCAAAGTTTCCAGCACTTCTTATCTACTTCACCATGCATCAGGCTCATGAAAGTCTGGTATATATTGTTCTAACACTGACTGAGGTTCTTGGGTATGCCGATCATTCCTCACAGGCCAGAGAGAGGATATCAAGCACTGTGAAGGGCATTATCGAGGAGAGGAGGAAGGCTGACTGCTGCAAGAGGGATGATTTCCTCAACGTGCTCCTGTCAACCGATGAACTCTCTGACGAGGAGAAAGTGAGCTTTGTGCTGGACTCCCTGCTAGGAGGATACGAGACCACCTCACTCATGATCTCCATGGTCGTCTACTTCCTTGGGCAGTCAGCTCAAGATCTGGACCTAGTGAAGGTACATACATACCTGATCAAGCTTAAGCCACAGGTGACTGGTGGTTGCGTGCATGTGTCACTTATTATATATGAACATGCTGTGCATGCAGAGGGAGCATCAAGGCATAAGATCTACCAAAGCAAAGGAGGAGTGCTTGAGCTCTGAGGACTACAAGAAGATGGAATATACCCAACATGTAAGTAAGATGATGATCATTCAGTACACGCTTTAGGATATGTAGCCGGTTGGTAAGCAGGGATCCTTTTTTCTTTCTATTATCAGACATCCACCAAATATGTGACCCTTCAGAATTTATGTTTTTTCTGTCCGTATGCCTGCCTATATCTGGAATTTTGACTAGAGCAAACAACACTTTGCAAGAACAGTGCAAATGGGGAAGGAAGGGTCTCTTAATTTGTTCTGTAATAATTGGAATGGTTCAATGATACATACATACATGCGTGGATGTCCTTTCAGGTTATCAATGAGGCGCTGAGATGTGGAAACATTGTCAAGTTTGTCCACAGGAAGGCCCTCAAAGATGTCAGATACAAAGGTAATTAACCCTGCTAGTACTTGGGGCTTTCCCAGCAGATCCCATTGTGCTCATCACATGATAATGGATCAGGCAAAGGGGGCGGTTGGGCCTTTATTGCTGATTTGTGAGCATTGTTATTCCTAAACACCTAGCTTTTGATAGAAGATGCTCAAAAGCAAGTGGACCTCTTCTTTTGCTCTGTTGCAGAGTATCTGATTCCATCTGGCTGGAAGGTCCTACCTGTTTTCAGTGCTGTTCATTTGAACCCCTCGCTTCATGGAAATGCCCAACAGTTTCAGCCTTGCAGATGGGAGGTATGTCTGATTTCCATACCATGTGCACGGGCATCTATATTTGTAGTCAAGTAATGAATACATCTTAGTTTATGCAGATTAGCTTTAATATAATATGCTTGTTTAGGGAAGCCTAACTTTGACATAATATGCTTTTTATGAACTATTTTATACAATGAAAAGGTGAGAACAAATCAGAAGAGCTTATCTGTAGCTTTGAGAGAATCTTCTTTAAGGTTGCTCTGTTAACTAATTGATGCCTTTAATTAGTGAGTGTCCAACTAACCCATGCCATAATAATTACTTGCAACTATCCTGGTATCTTCAGATGCCAAGCAGGCTTTGGCTGAGGGCCTAGTGCCTTCTGTACATGGTCCTAACCATGATTCCTCACTCAAAGCCAGCATCCTTGGCTTTGCTTCTTCATTTTCTTAACTCCCTTGATGAAGCTAGCTCATATGCATGACTTGTACAATTGATTGATGCAACAGGGCCCAAGCCAAGGTACAAGCAAGAAGTTTACACCATTCGGCGGTGGCACCAGGCTCTGCCCTGGATCAGAGCTTGCCAAAGTAGAGGCTGCTTTCTTCCTCCATCACCTTGTGCTCAATTTCAGGTAAAACATTTCTCCTAGCCGATTAAGAGATACACATGTAGCAACTAACGCAGCAAGAGCAACAAATCGGAGAAACGAAGAACCTAAATATTTTGTAAGGATAAATCAACTTAAGAATGAAATTAACCAGAGGAAATATGAATAGCATGACCACAGATTGATGCAGTCTCATACTAGTGGAGATGCTCTGCAAACATGGCAGCATGGAGTATCCAATAAGTATGGCATGCAAGTTGAGTGGTACCAAATCTGGTCCATAGATATCTGCAGTTATCAGATTGTGACAGAAGAAAATGCATCTCCCTCTACTTTTTTTCAGAGCAAGGAGATAAGTGCTTACTGAATCTCTATAGTTACTGATCATGGTATAATTTGGCACCCTGCAGATGGAAAATCGATGGCGATGACATTCCAATGGCATACCCGTACGTGGAGTTCCCGAGAGGCCTGCCGATAGAAATCGAGCCGATTTGCTCTGAATCTTGACTGGGTTCTTGCAGCTGCAAACATGGCGGTGAGTGAAAAAAGAGATTGCAAGCAGTGAAGCGAAGAAGCACCGATGACTAGCTTAGCTTAGCTAGTTCCTGGAATGGGGTAGCTGAGGAGGTTGTGATCTCCTCTGTACATGGTGTACATATATTTTGTCCATTGTGATTACTTGAGGTGGTTGGGTCACCCTGTTACATCCTCCACTGTCTGGACTACTATCCTATAGAAAAAAAATGGGCTCCTGGTGTTTACATTTACTTCTGAAATTCGTTATGGGGAGATATGTATGAACCGGACCTCACTGAAACTTCGAAACAACGTTCTTATCCTTGCCAAACAGACCATGTAAGTCCCAAAAAATAAAGACCATGTAAGAGAACATTGGGAATTTGGCATAAGCACACCAGTCAGCAGAGAGTGAAGTTATTGTTTAAAACTGGTACTATTAACCTTTAGTGTTTACAAAGATTCATGTAAATCAGTATGGGGAGATTCTACAAGGGACATTTGGATAGAACGAACAAGTCCTTCAGAATTCAGTTGAAACTCCCATGCTCAAATTGATAATGAGAGGAGATCAATGAACAGAGGCTTTGTTCAGGAGTTTAGAAATGATTGCAAAAAAACTATGGCCCATACAGGTCTCGAACCTGTGACCTTCGCGTTATTAGCACGACGCTCTAACCAGCTGAGCTAATAGGCCTTGTGTGTAAACTGAGCCAGTAAAGCACTTATATATGAATCATATATTTTCGTAAGTTCCAGAATCAGTCAAAGCGTATGACCTCTCTTTTTTTTTTTCCAGTTCCAAATCAGTCAGGGCGTATGTTGGAGAAAATATGACGTACTGGCAGACGACAATACGCTCGACTCTAAGGGCATGTACAATGATGGCATATGGATACACATGCCTCATTGAAAAAAAGTAGCTTGAGGCAACTATACTGATTTTCTCTCCCCAATACAAACTACTACTAATGGGTCTCATCAAGAAATAGAAAGTAGAAACTCTAATACATATGCATCTCTACTCTTTACTTCAACTTTTTCAGTTTTTTACATCAGATTACACTTTTTCTTTCCAAGCACCTGCCTTGAGGATCCCGCTTCTCTATCCGAATCTATTTTCCTGACATCCGATCCTACATGACACATAGGGCATCACCATAAGGCTATGCATTGGCCATGCCCTAATGACTTGCAACGCAAAGTGTCTTTCTATCAAAGATTGATAGACAATGCTTTAGTGACATGAAGTCAGCGAAAGTACTCTTGGCTCATTTAAAATCAAATCAAAAAAATCTGAATTTTAGTGACAAACATTGATAGAAGTTTTCAACGCTTGCAAAATTTCATCATGCAACGACATTTGTAGAGCTGTGGCAAGAAAAAAATCATCACTCCAAAATGCTTTTGAAAATGACATTTTTGGAGCATCGATTTTGTTTTTTTAGCCACAGCTTCTACAAATGTCATTTCATGATGAAATTTTGCAAGCGTTGAAAACTTTTGTCAATGTTTGTCATAAAAAAATTCAGAATTTTTTGAATTTTCTTTCATTTTTTTCGATTTTACTGTTCACCCGAGCTCATATGAGCTCGGGCTAAGAAAATCCATGTCCGTCAGATGCTAGTTGAAATTTGAAAACAAGATTTGGTCGGAAGTAAGATTGCCATTTGCCCTCGAGCCTCTAAACACCATTTCATGCCCACTAAAAATATTCAGGAGAATTCTTACTTACAACAGAACTACAACAACTTTGCAGACATACACACAAACACGCAAACTCACTGATGCCTTATTGAAGAACAGAAACAACTAGTAGATTAAAAGAAAATAATTTTGACTGTCATCCAGAGAGGGATAGATCAGCTTACTACTTCCTGGCACCGCAGAACTTGGGGCCTTAACCTTAGGGCTTTAGGAAATCAGGCTGGTCTGTGACTGATCTAACCCATGCCCATTTGTGATCATTCACATCCACCGGGTTCTTGGCCACGGCAATATCTTCCAGTGGTATGTAGCTGTAATTCCCATTTATCGGGCCAGGTACGAAGCCAGTAAACCCAGCCATTATCCCATGGATGGCTGAATGCGCCAACAGGGTACAGTATAGATTATCAGTAGCATTTGCTGGGACTGCTCGAATCATGTAAGTAGGATCGATATACTTCACAGTGAACAACTCAGTGGGGTGCTCTCTCTTCCACCATCTGCCCAGCTCAGATTTCAGCCAGGGGCCAACGTCAAGGAACAGCATGTTGCCAGACTCATCCTGCTCTCGCTTCTGATCATCGGTCCGGGGAATCAACTCCTGCCCAGCGCCTTCAGCAACGACGACGACAGCATGTCCCTTCTTCTTTATCCTTTCGTACAGGAACTCGAACAGGCCTCCCTTCCCTTCAACGTGGAAATCAATCTCAGGAATCAAACAGCAGTCAACATCTCGGCTGCTCAGGGTGGCATGAAGAGCAATGTGGCCCGTGCTCCTGCCCATAAGCTTGACAAGACCGATGCCATTCACAGCGCTCACAGCCTCCACATGTGCCGCGTCGATCGCCTGCTGAGCAATCTCCACTGCAGTTTGAAACCCAAATGACCTGTCTATGATGCCGATGTCGTTGTCCACGGTCTTGGGAATCCCTGTAATGGAGATCCTCAAACCGCGCCGTTTAAACTCTTCGAATATCGCCACTGCTCCTCTCATGGTTCCATCCCCGCCAATCGCATACACCTGTGAAATGTCATAAAAGGGATGTTCAGATAGGATAGTAAGATCAAGGCCTGAAGAACAGGAACAATTGGCATGTGAACCAGCACATGTAACATTGTATACTTAATTTTTTTTGACAATAAAAATAGGTAGTAACTACACCAAAATCTTGATCCTAACTAAGGCCAACTCTAACCGATCCCCTATCCAGCTATAAGGGACGATAAATTCGGTTTTCCTCCTCTATGCCGCACCTAGCCGATCCCCTAAACCAAATAGAGGAGGGTATTCTTCCACGGAAAGAAAGAGGGCCCTTTGGCTAGGGTTTCTTGTGCCTCCCGCCGGTGCCGCCGCCGGTCTACCTCGTCTCATGTGGTCTTAGGGCCATGGAGGCGTGGTGGATCCCGGCCCTTACCGGCGGAAGGGCTTCGTTTTTTCATGCTCTTTTGAGTTTTGTTAGGGTTTTTGTCCTGCTCAGAGAGGCGAGGCGGCGGCGGCTCTCTGAAGATGGAATAAGGTTCTCCCCGCCTTGTCCCCGTTCTGGTGGTGTTTCTAGCATCATTAGAGGGCGTGTGGAGGTTTGTATCCGGCGGATTTCGCGGGATTCGGTCGGCGTTTGTCTTTGGTGGATCCACGTGGATCTTGTCTTTGTTCGTCTGTGTTCCTGTGTCTACAGGCTGGATCCTTCCGATCTACGCTTCTCTTCATCGACGGCGGTTGCTGCGCGTTGGTCCTATGGGGCCTTAGCACGACGACTTCCCGACTGTCTACTACAACAAGGTTTGTCCGGCTCCGATCAGCAAGGGGTGAAGACGGCGGCGCGCCTTCGGCTCGCTCCAGTGCTAGTAGTCGTCGCTAGGTGGTCTATTGACCTAGATGTATTTTTTACTTCTGGTGTTCTTTGTACTACCTTGACAGTTGATGAATAGATTGGAAGTTATTCTCGCAAAAAAAAAAATCCTCCGGCGCCTATTCAATCCCTAAATATACTCTGTCTGGAGGCGGGCAAGGATAAATTTTCTTCACACAAAGGCCTCCTTTTGGCCGGCCGGCGACTCACGTGAAGCTCCCTTGTCGACGGCGGCGACCTCCGGCCTCGCCGGTGACCCCTACCCGTACTACTACGGGTATGGCCACTGTGTGCTGCTGCTGCTGCTGCTCCTCCCCGCTGTGTGCTGCTACTGCTGCTGGCTGCCGCCTGTGCCTGCTGCTGCTTCTCCCCACTGCGTGCTTCTGCTCCTGTCAGCTACTCCTCCCCGCTGCGTGCTTCTGCTGCTGCTGCTGGCCGCTGCTCCTCCCCGCTGCATGATGCTGCTGCTGCTGCTCGCCGCCGTCAGCGTAAGCCTCGATCAGTGCAGGCAGAAGTGCGACGTCCGGCGTGTTTGGCGTGCTCTCCAGCAGTCCAGCATTGCCGGCGTGGTCACCATGGTTGCATAGCAAGTGTTCCACGAAATGTATGAGCCAAATGTAAGTTTACTCAGTTATACACAGGGGATCGGCTAGGTCCGGCCAAAACTCCACTAAAGGTTTACTCCGTCGGATGGGGATCTGTTAGAAATGCCCTAACACGAACAATCATGAGTGTTTTCAGACTTTTCTGTAATACACCATTATCCTTTAAATCGCAACTTTGAACAATTTTAGTGTATTAGAGTAAGGCCAAGCTGATCCCAATCTTCCAAGTGCTTACGCATTCTGTACATCGCCTCGCGGTTTTGCAAGTAATCACTGTCTCTAGTGAAAATCTGAAAGCTGCGTCTGAGTTGCTTTTACCTGCGTATACCCGCGGGCGACGATGCCATCGACGATCTTGTTAAGATCAAAGCCACCACGTGTCGTCTTGAGCGCGGTGCCGCCCTTCTTGTGCCAGTCGTCCACGGAGGCCGGGTCCAGCCGCACGTGGTCGTCGTCAGCGCCGTAGAACCCGCGGTAGCCCGCGGCGACGCCGAAGACGTCGAGGACGCCGTAGAGCTCGTGGAGCCCCACGACGAGCTCCCTCAGCACGGTGTTGAGGCCCGGGCAGAGCCCCCCGCAGGTGACGAGGGCGGCGCGGGCGCGGGCCGGGTCGACGGCGAGGCTTTCGCGCGGGCCCGCGCGGCGGTACGCGACCAGCGGGTTCGGGGTCCCGGAGGCGAGGTCGAAGAAGGCGTGGCGGAGGGAGACGTCCCCCGGGGAGATGTAGAAGGTGGGGGGCGGGTGGAAGTAGGGGTGGCTGGAGATCGGGTTGGGGACCGCGGTGGCGCCGGAGGGCGAGGCCGGGAGCCGCGGCGCGTCGCGGAGGGTG